AACTGTTCCAGTGGTAATCAAGACGATAGGTGAAGATGTGCTTGCTAGCACGTAACTTTTTGCTATTGAACAAAGGAGAAATAGGTCGTCGATGGAAAGTTTAAATTTTTTCAGGTATACATTTACTAGTGAAGGTGTGAACCAATAGCATGATAGGATGGCTTTGTTTCTTTCGTGTTACAAATATGGTAACTGAGCAATTTGATATTCTAGAGCGAATTTATGTTTTTAAATGAAATGCCAGGAAAATTGCATGTTTCAGCTCCGCTGGGAGTTTAAGGCTGTAGGATCACTATTAGCTACAAATCGTGTAGGAAAATTATGCCATTATTGTAATTCATGAATAAATGAAGTGAATAAATGTTGTCATTTAACGCTGTTTTCTTTAATGACAGTTTGATCCAGTCCATTAACACAGTTCCTGGAAGTTAATATATTCGTTACTGAGTAAACTCGTCACAAGTCCCCGGTTCGTTATTTCCTTCCAGCCTCCCCACGTTCGCCTTAGGACATGCGCATGAGAATAGACCTTTTTCGACTGAGCGGTTCGTTGCTCCATTTCAGACTATATGATGACACTCTTGAGAATTATTCCTTTCAAATTTTCAAATAGTCGCGTGCATATGAATAAATAATTTTTAGATGGATAAAAGAACAATTCTCAAGAGAATATCACGTGGTCTGTAATGGGAAAACGAACCGCCAAAGCGAAAAAGGTCTATTGTCCTTGTAAGTCTTTCTGCGGATTAAAAGGACGACTCCTATCAGACGGACTCATGAGACGCTGCATATCTCTAGTTACAGCCTTCGGAAAACATTTTGTCAGAATTGGGGAGGCCGTGGGCGGAGAGAGAGAGAGGGGGGGTTGGGGCTGAACATAACTCACCCGAATAAAATTTGTTGGTAACAGATGTAAGACGATTTGGTTTGTGACGTCAGTCACGTCAACTCACAATGCTGTGAGAGCAAGAGCGATCAAAAGAGTACAAATATTTTCGGTAAATCGAGATCAACATTTCTAAGATACAACATTGCTTTATTTACATACTTCCTTTCAATGTATAATAGCGGTGATGCTGCTAAGTCGCTTTTAAAAATGGCATAATGCGGGGAAGGGTGCCGAAAGACCGCTCATCAAAGCACGAGGTTATACGAATTGTGGCCAGGATGGAGGCAACTTTATATCGAACAGATAAAATGTTATGGACACCATTTTGATGTATTGCCTTCACCAACACGGCTATGTTTTTTTCTGTCATGGGTCCCTACAGTCGAAGTTTTCAAAGATTGAGTTCTCACGTGATAGCATCTCGCTATCCACGCCGTATAAATCTGATACAATTTGCGTGTTGCTGCGGCTTGGAGAATAGATATCTTCAACATTGCGCAAAACCATTTTAACTTTTCTTGACTATCTGCTATGTCGAGCGCGACGGTTACGACTTGTCTCAGCTATCTGCAATATCCTGTGCAGTAAGAGTAACATGAAAGTAACGT